AGTATGGTTTATATTTCTGTTCAGCATTCCATAGGCGGATCTGAGACTCAAGTGGTATAGGATTATGTGATGGGAAAATGAGGACTAGTTTGTTGTCAAAATAGGGAAGAATTAAATGATTTAAGAATGTGAAGTGGAGATGGCAAAATAGGAACTCGCATTTCTCGGCATTACTGGCTGAACATTTGTTTAAGGACAGGCCCGGACCTATACAGAAGTGTGAAGCAGAAGTCTGTTCTCAGTTCCACTCTCCTTTCCCATTCCAACACTTTTTTTTGTGTCTCTCCCCACTCTTTCCCGCCCTCCCTTGTTACTATGTCCCCAGCGATGTCACGTCTGAGTCACTGGCATTAAGGACTTTCTTATTTTAACTTTGTATGAAGAAGAGGATTTCAAGAATACTTTCGGTATGTTACAGCACATATGCACTAGTTTTTAGCACTGAGGATAAGACAAGTCCTGTTTAAGGTTATCACTTTTCGAAAATAAAACTATTATTTTGTCTAGCTTCCAACTCCAATAATAAGAGAAAAAGATAGTTATGAAATGTATACAAATTTACAAAATTAACAGAGTAGTTGAATTTCGCACTGAAAAATAGTATCGGTAGCTACATTTAAAATGCAACTGTGCACAGCATTCATAAGCATGGAAATCAACAATTAAATAAATTCTTTTAAGTATCTTAAGCACTGTTGTAAACATTAGGTCCCTTACAATGGAAATGTAACAAGGACAGACTAAAAAGATATTTTTCTTACTTTTTAAGTAACTCGGGACAGTTTTTAGAGAGTTTGGGGTAGTGGCATGAATATTTTGAGTCAAAAAATATTAATATGAATTCTGACTTCTCTGTCTTTTCTTGCTTGCCTTTGGAGTGTGAACTATCTAAATGAGATGCCCAAAAGCAGGAGAAAAATAAGAAAATTGCTGTGATTCTCCACCAACAAAACCACCTCCCCCAAATAATTGAAATTGCTGCTCTAGGCAGGAAATATAAATGTCTGAGCAACCACGTTCTTGGTAAGACTGAAAGCTTTCTAATGGGATCTTTTCCCTTAAATTCTGCAAACATTTCTGGAAGATCAGTTAAAAATTAATTATCACTCATGTAAAAGTTTGCACTGATTCAATTAATTGGTAGCTAGATGCCCACTTGCTGTGTTGTTCTAAAACAAATACTTATAAAATGTCAATTAGTACATCTCTATATTTTATACTCAGTTTGTCCCCTCCTTAGTAAATAAAGCATAATTAGGATTCCATCGAAGTGGTAAATGGAGAAGATTATCTGTAGTCAATCTTATGTACCTATGTCTGCCAGTTATTTTAAACTTGTTCCTGTTGCATCCTGCCTTTGAGAGACTGTTTTCTTCAGATTTTATTTCATGTCTGCCTTGGTCAGTGTTTTCTGAGACAATATGTTCTTGAGTTGCCTGGAGGCCCCCCAGTTAAATGCCACTTTGTAATGAGACTTTCTTTGGTCACTGGACTCGTCTCTGAAGTTGTTAAAGCCTGCAGATGGCTGAGTGAGGCAACTATATTAAACTACAGCAAATTGAATTTAGGTGCTAAAGCTATGTTTGAAATTTATGGGAGTGCTTTTCTGTGAGTTTATTTATTTTTCAAGGATGGTGGGTCATCCCTCCCAGGAATGCCTGGCCGGCCACTTTTGATAAGTCAGAACTACTCTAGACTGACCACCCCCCACCCCAAAGCAGAGTCTGGCTTCTCTGCACACAGTGAAAGGTGAACACTGTACTTAATTTGAAATCTCATCTTTCAGTCAACCCAAGATGTTGCTATGTTTCTGAACAATTCATTGGGTGTGTACTTAGATAATAAAAACTTATTTTAATACTATATAAGTAAAAGACAATTATGCTTATTTCACAAAATTTATATAATCTTGTGTAGAGAATGTTTAATGTACCTGTTCCAACATTTCTCCACTGATGCTGATAATAGATGGTTGATTTTATAATGAGTTTAAATGAACTTAATTTTCACACATTTGATGTATAGGGGTTTTTTTGGGAGGGAGCGGTGAATTCTATTAACACCTTGATCGCCCACTGTGGATCAGGTGTGTTTCCTGCAGGGCTCGAATTCACACTACACCCCAGTGTTATGCACTAACAATATATATACTTTTAAGTAATCTGTTTGTTTTTCCAATATAATTGGAATTATTAAAAAAATTTATATTCTTCTTTTCAATTTTCAAGCTCTCTACAGTTTTATTTCTTCTTGGAATGTCATTATTCTGCACAGAATAAATTTGGAATAAATTCTGCATAATTGGATGAAGGAAAACACCACCCATATCTGGGTGATGGGGCTCCTGAGGAAATACAACTGTCACCCAGGTGTGGGTGACATGGTGATCAACGTGTTAGGGAAATTTATCACCACTAACTAAGAGGAATTACAAGGGTTTTGGGGTGAGTTCTATAGCTCAATCTAAGTCATGGTATGATGCAGAGAGAACCTGAAAACTCTGTAAACTCCAAGTCTAGTGGGTGTGCAAGCCCCAGGCCCAGTGGACCAGGAGGCAAGCTCCAGCTTCACTCTGCAGCAGAGGGATGTTATTCGGAGCTGTGCTCTCAAGGGGACACCAAAACTACCATGCACAAGTAGGACACGCAAGTGGTTACAGCGCCCTTGAGAGGTGTGATCTTTGAGCTGCAAGCCTGGGGCTAGACTTGGGTGTTGATTGCTCCTGGACCACTGGAGGGATGACTCCTCTGGCAGTTGGAATGCCTCTCAACGGTGGCCAAAAATAATTTCAGCACCAGGGGCAGGTTTATTTTGGCTAGATGCCACAATCGAATGGTCTGCAGAGATGTCTACAGCTGTTCCTCAAAGTTGCAGTAAGGAGGAAGAATGCCCTGCCTTTCCAGTGCCTCTTCTTTTCACAATTGCAAGAGTTAGAAGAACTGACCTTGTTGTGCTAGTGGCACACTTAAATGTTCCAAGTGTGAGGACTACTGTAGGGACAAGAAGGTATACTACCTGACCTTGCCTCCTAGACCTGAGCCGACTCCAAGGTGGACCTAGCTTAGTGGAAATGTGACATTATTAAGACCTCTTCAAAGAGAATCTTGCAGGATGGGAATAGCTCACTGGTAGACCATATGCTTAGCAAACATGTGGTCCTCTGTTCAATCCCCGGTATCTCCATTAAAAAAAAAGATATAAAATGGAACTTTATACTTGACAAAAAGTATTTCTTTTCAGGATGCCAAGAAAGATGTCAATCCAGATTTTCTTGGGGTCTATGAATCTCCCTTCCTTTTTGACATTTTTGGAAGATGGAAAAATTTCTTTATACCCTTCAATTATTCTTTAGTTTGTAATAGACACCATCCCCAACACCTCTGCTGTCTTTCAGGCAGCATTAGATCTTGGTTCTTTATTTTTCTTTTTTTTTTGTGCTGTAGGGCAGAAATGCACCCACAAAAGGAATATATTAGGTAGGGAAAGAAGCTAGTTCTTTCATTAAGTGATGTCTCTCTCTTGATGTTATCTTCTTTCATCTAATAACCAGATTTGGCAGCAGGCTAGAGTGGGTTAAAGTGCAGGTTTCTGTTGCTGCTTCCAAGTCTCTTCCAAATGGACTAGAGGAACGACTTCAAAGCTCTAGATCTTGTCAGAGTTCTGTCAAGGCTGCAGGAGCAGTTTATAGTTAAAAAAAAAACCCAACAACTTTATTTTAGGATAGTTTTAGATTTACAGGGAAATTGCAAAGACAGTACAGAAAATTCTTACATGTCCTACACCCTGTTTTACCTGTTATTAACATCTTACAGTGTATTTGTTTTAATTCATGAACCAATGTTTACACAGAAGCATTAGCTAAATTCTCTACTATATTCCAATTTTCTAAGTTTTTACCTAATTGTCTTTTTCTCCACCATCCCATCCAGGATACTACATTACATTTAGTCATCATGCTTTCTTAGACTCCTCTTGGCTGTGACAGTTTTTAAGGCTTTTCTTGTTTCTGATGACCTCGACAATTTTGAGGAATACTGGAATACTGGTCAGATATTTTGTAGAATGTTCCTCAACAGGGATTTGTCTGATGTTTTTCTTATGACTAGGCTGAGACTACGCGTTTTGGGGATGATGATTCCAGAGGAAGGGTATCACTTTCATGGCATGATATCAAGTGTACATACCGTCCACATGACTTGTCAGAGTTGATATTAACCTTGATCACTTGCTTGAGGTAGATTTGGTCAGGCTGGTCCACTGTAAAGTGACTGATTTTTTTCTCTTTTCCATACTATCCTGTTTGGGAGGAAGTCACTAAACACAGCTTATCTAAAGGAGATTATTATTACAAACTAAGAAATTGCAGGTGTTTAGGCCCGAGTTATATAGCTTTCTCCATGTCCTGGGATGACGCAGGAGTGGGGAGCTAGGCTCCACCTCCTTGAGGGTGGAGCATCTACATAAATTATTTGGAATTCTTCTGCTGGAAGATTTATTTATTCTCCCCCTGTATTTACTTACTTACTTACGTCAGTATACACTTACAGATATTTATTTTCAACTCTGGGTTATAACCCAATACTACTTTGTTTCTTAAAATGTTCTACCTTTGGCCATTGGGAACTCTTTCAGGTGGCCCCTATGTCCCTTTGACATGCTCCATCTCTGTTTTCCTGTTTTTATTTGAGCACTTCCTTACTTTCTGGCACTATAAGATGCCCCAGGCTCCTTTTGTATACTTCCTGTTCCAGTCCTAGAATCAGCCATTTCTCTAAGGAGCCCTGATCAGACCAGTTTTTAAAGAACTGCATTTTTTGCATTCTCTCTAAGTCTTCCCTGTGTTTGGTGTATGCAACAGATGCTTTTTGCTTGGTTGATATTGAAACAGATTTTTTTTTTAATTACAGAGATGTTCAAACATATATAAATGCTAATGGGCAAAGGGCAATGAAGCCCCATTTAGCCCTCGTCCAGCTTGGACATGATCACCTTATGGCCAATATTATTTTATTTCTACTTTGCTCCACTTCTCCTTACATCCCAAACTCGTACTATTTCATCTATTAATATTTCAGCAATATCTCTAAATAATAATAATTCTTAAAACATGACATATATAAAAGAAACTTAATGACTATTTGGGTGGTAAAAGATTAAAAGTGATTTGATTCTCCTCCGCCACGCGGTCAGGTGTGGGTCCCCTCCCGTCGAATCTGGGTGGGCTCTGTGGCTTTGCTACAGCAGAGGAGATGCTGTAGCAGCTTCAGGGTCCAGGCCTTAAGACCGTCTATTCCCTTTCTCTTGGAGCAATTTTTCTGGTAGTCTTGAATTTCATATAACAAATTTAACTACCTTGAGACAGCTGTGATGGAGAGGCATGTGCAAGTGCTCCAGTCAACGGTCCCAGCTTAGCCCAGCCTTCTAGGCTTTGCTGCCAAGGCACCAGATGTGTGAGTGAAGCCATCCTGGACCATCCGGAACAGCCCACCTGACGCCTCCGTTGACAACATGTTGAGCAGACAGATCGTCCAGGCTTCCCCTGCTGGATTTCCTAACTCAAAAGATTCTGAGGTATATTCAAATGGCTATTGTGTAATCCACTAAGTTTTGAGGTGCTTTGTTGGGCAGCAATAGATAACTGAAATGGCAGCCTTTTAAAATTTGCATGCCCAGTGTTTTACTTTGAGCATAAGTCTCTTGGGAGTGTGACTTACCTGTCCCTCCGAGGGTCTTTTTGAAATTGTGTGGATTCATTTGCCACGTAAACAGTTTTGAATATTTCTTACCTTTGTTTTTAATGTAATTTATTTAATTACATATTTATATAGTTTACAGTTTTAATAATAACTGTCACAAGATTTCTCAAAATGTAACAGTTGGCTTTCTTCCCTTTGGAGTAATGGCTTCGGTAAGTTCCTGATTGACAGTCTCCTCTTGATCAGTTTGTGCTGATTTTATCTCCATCCTCAGCTCTGGCAAAACACTTAAGTTACCTGACTTTGGAGTCAGAGTTGGTGGGAGTCAAAGAAGGGGATATTTAAAGATTTTAAAGGCAGTGGTGACATCATTCACAGTATCTTATAGGTGTACAACCTACCAAGCACATTGACATGCACAATTGATGTATTCAACTATCTTTGCCTGCAGAGATAGTTGCCTGGCTTTGTGCCTTGGTGGTGTGACCCTGGGTAAATTACTTAATGTTGAGTCCGGTTGCCTCGTATGCAAATTGCGGGTAACCGACTGTACCCTAAAGGGCTGTTGTGGAGGACTGAAGGCAGGGAAACACGAACAGAACTGTGCATTGTCGGCTCTAGGATTATTCCAATTATGTGGTTTTCTCATAAAACATATGAACTCATTTTGGCAGTAGTGCTGTTAAAATTCACAGCAATGGAAAGAAAGCCAGCCTTTCTTAGGTGGTGAGATGAGGGAGATTTTTCTGTCTTTGGTTCTTGTTTTGGCTGCGCTGGGGACTTGGGCTTTAATCTTGGCAGGGAGGTGTGGAGGGCGTGGAGAGAGGTGAGGGGAAGGCTTGCGAGTGCCTGAAGAAGGACGTTAGCAGAAAGGAGCACTGACTTCCAGCACACGACGATGCTTGATGTGCCCATCCTCCGGTGAGGTGTTTGGGAGAGAATTATATGGTCTGCCTTTTGCAGACTGGCAGACTGAAGATAAAAGAGCTTACAACTTGCCCCAGGATCATCCTAGCAGGAACGGAAGGAGAACGGCAGAAATATTCAGCACGGCTTTTTGTTAATGGATTCACTCCAGTACTCAGGCCATGCAAGTTCTTCAATTTCCCCCAAACCATAGCCTTAAATGAGGCCTATTTCAGGCAGAGACACTAATCCAGCCCTGAGGTGGAATAATTCCTCCTCAGCACCCTCCTTTGATGTGTAGCTGATATGGAACTGAGTGCCAACATATGTTTGTACAAATATACTGGCAAATGTAAGCAGCCTACTGCTAATTACTACACTCTGAACCTCATGTGAAGTTTGAGTGATGCCTCAAGGAACTGGAATCTAAGAAAATCATATACATAAATGTATATTTTTTTCAAATGTTAGCAAAAATGGGTTAACTTCTTTGTGGTTGAAACTGGAAGACACGAATTACCTTGTCTTCTCCAATTTTGGGCAATAACGTTCTTACTTACGGAATTCAGGTCAAACAGTTGTCTAGCAGAGATTGAAGCATTGTAGACACTTCTAATATGACAACAGGCAGCTTAAATGTAAAAAGCTAAGATTGCTTAAAATTTGGAAAATGAAAATAAGAACAATACAATTTAAACGGACTCTATATGAAACATAGAGAGTGACTGAAACCACAGGCCACCAATTAAAAATCACTTATCGGCAGGGAACAGAGTTACTGGGTTGAAAACAAAGAGTAGGGAGCCCTGTGGGAACTTCAGAGTGGCCTGTCCTGCGCATTCAAATTCAAATCATTTCTGAGTACCAGGCTGGCTTAGCAGAGTTGAGAAGGCCAGAGAGCAGGCCTTTGTCCTCCACGGGGTGACCCTTTGATTTAAAGATAGTTAAAAAAACCAGTGTTTTCATCATTTTACTACATGTTTCAAACTAAAACATTTTAAAATTTGAATGAATACAATTTTACATTAATTTTTGCTCATGTTAATGGTTGATTTAGTTGGCCATCAAATAGCATTTCTACTTTTAAAATATGTAGAATTATTCTATTGATCAATTTCTGAAAGTCTTAGATTTCAAGTATAGAAACAGTGTAGAATGATTTCTTTTTTACAAAAATGAAATGTTTGCATTTTGTGGGGTTATGGAAAAACTGTCAGAAACTGAAACAGATACCGAAAGGGAGAAAGAGTGTCTGCAGAGGTGGCTTACTGTCCGCTTCTGGGATGGACTGATTTTTGCTGGTCAGTTGGCAAGATGGGGAAGATTAGAATGTTTGATCATTGTGCTTCAGTGGAAGCAAATTGCAAGGATACAATTTGATATCCTTAAATCTAGATATTTGGATCAAAATTTTTAAATTTGGTTTAGTTGCAATGAAGATGTCTAAATTGAAAATACAGAAAACAAAAGCAATTCTATTTCTTTAAAATGTAAACAAGCTAGTGGAATAACTTTCACTAATTCATCAGCTAAATTGCTGGCTAAGTAATTGAATAAAAATTGTGGTTTAGGTTTTTAGGAAGTGTGTATCAGTGAAAAGAAATGATGGATTTGTATTTTAGTGTTTGGATTTACATGGTTGTTTCTAAATTTCCCAAGTGTACCTAAATGTAGATTTTTCCTCTTGATTTTTTGAATTTGTAATCACTTCACTAAATTTCTCTTTCTCTGCAGGCAAAGATAGTTGAATACATCAATTGTGCATGTCAATGTGCTTGGTAAGTTGTACACCTATAAGATATTGTGAATGATGTCACCACTGCCTTTAAAATCTTTAAATATCCCCTTCTTTGACTCCCACCACTTATTTTCCCAGCTCAATTGCTCTAGTACACCCGTTGTAACAATTCTTCAATGTCATGGAGACCTCCAGCCCATCGACCCTACATGCCCTATCCATCAGTTCCCCGTCTTCATTTCCTTTCTTGTCCAACATAATGTCATGGTCCATCATTATTATCACTCCCTTGCTAATGCCCTAAACTCCCTTGCTCCTCTTTTCCTTCTTCACATTTGACTGGCAAAGACTCAACCCTGATTGAACCCAACCATTCCCTTGAAACTGGGGGAAAAAAATTCACAGTAAAGCTGACTTATTCAGTTTTAAACTCTTGACCATCAACTTCAGATGGGCTCGAACACAGTCCAGAAATTCTTTGATTTTTCCTCTTACTGTTGGGTCCAAATATTAAACACCATTGCTCTGATTTGAGAAAAAAAGTGAATATTTATTTTCTGTAACTGATGTCATCTCCCCCTCCCAGGTCTCAGTGGCAGAAGCAAAAATTGGGGAGATGAGATATTGGGTAGGGGAACCTTGGATATAAAGTTTAATGAATGGAATCTCAATTTCAGATTTCATTGCTTTAGACAACATTTAGGTGCTTGGTCTTTCAAATCTCTTGGCTCTTTCTAGCTCCTTTTCATGATGGGTTCTAGATAGATGAAGCAGCGTACCTGATTTTATGATAGAGGGCAAGAAGACCCCAGACTCACTGAAACTCTAGATCCCTGTTGTCTTTGCTGGGTTGGAGAGGTGTCTTATCTGTATTGATCCTTGGCCCTTTGCACTGGAACCCACTGAAGTGTGTCTGATCTCTTGTGGCATTTTGGAGATATTCTGTGTGCATCTGTTTGTGAAATCTATAGTCTTAGCCAATGATGTAGTTGCCCAGATCTCACGCTTTGTGGTCTCTTTTTTAATGGTGCTGGGTCTTCTGGTCAACCAGCCCTCTCAGTATCTTTATATCTGCATATATTCCACATGAGCTTTAAGAAACCAGTAGTAATATGTGTGCAATTTGTTCCAGGTGAATTGGACATGGTGCTGAGACAAATGAGGGACTTGTGCCTGAGGTGTGTGTCTCCAAGCTCTGCCTGGAGAAGCAGCCTGCTGTCTCTAATGTTCTCCAGTGCCTCTCTACCCATCAGAATGTTCTTACAGCCGCCACTGCTGGGTTCCCATGTGGAGTGGGAGGAAAGACAAAGACCTTGCTCTACCTTTTCCCTTTCTCATTTCCACATTCTTCTAGGGCTGGATCAGCTGGGCTTCTCTTCTTCTCCTCATGTGGCAGGGACTTTTCCTGTGCCCTATCTTGAGTTTCTCTACTGATAATAAACTTGATGATCAAATCAGCCAGACTGGCTTTTGATGCATTATTGAGAGTTTAAGGAATTAAAAAATTTTTTTTCTCTTGATAAAGTCTGTTTTTTCAAACTTATGGTATTATTAGGGATTCAACTGAACATTTGTTGCTTTCTTTCTATTCCTGTTATAATTGTCCTCATCTCCACCCTCCTGTGCCCCTTGGCACTTACTCTCCCTTGTAGATGGATACTGCTGAGTAGAGAGACGGTCACGTCCATGGAAATTCAAGAGAAAGGCACATTAATAATTGTAATCCTAGTTACACTATTCAGTTTACTTTTCTACTCTACACGATGACTATTTTGTCTGTCTGCTTGTTCCTCAGAGGTCTCATTACCTCTCCCCACTTCCCTACCCAGTTCTCAGCAGAAGACTCCATCTCATGTATCACTGAGAAAAATTACAGTCATCAGAGAACTCTCACTGCTAAATCTATAAATAACCTGAATCTCTTTCTTTCTTAGAGAAATATGGAAAGAAAGAGAGTTAATTCTTTCATCAAGGGACAATCCCTCCAATTTTGCTTGGGATCTCATTCCTTCTTGTCTTTTAAAACACTTCAGTCCTTCCTTTATCTTTTACATTGTGAATAGCTTTCTTTCTATTGCATTGTTCTCATCAATATAAAAGATGCTGTAATAGTTTTCTTCTTAAAGAAAAAAAAACCCCACTAACCCCTTATCTCCCTCAGTTCTCAATCTGCGGCTTCATTTCTCTGTCACTCTCTCTGGCCACGTTACTCAAAAAGTAATCTGCCTGTGCTCTTACCCTTTCTCACTTTCTATTCAGTTTTTGAGCCACTCGAATCTGGCATGGATCTCTACCATGTCAATGAAACTGATCAGGCCAAATTCAGTGTGCACATTTCTGTTCTCATCTCACTCAACTTCCTGGCAGCATTCAGCACCGTTGATCAGTTTCTTCTTCTGGAAACATTTTTCTATCTTAGCATCCATGGTGTCACACTCTTCTGGCTTCTTACTCTTTCTGTTGATTCAACTTCTAAATGTTGGAGCTCCACAGGGCTTGATCCAACCTTCATTTTTTCCCCATACATTCTCCCAACAGTGATCTCCCCTAACTTCATGACTTCAAATATCATATATGCTAGAAGTTTTCACATTTGCATCTTCTCTCCAGACTTCTCCTCTGAGGTACAGACTCAAATATTCAGACTATTTTCTTGAATATCTCTATTTGGAGGAATCACAGGCATTGTAAGCTTGACATGGCTAACACAATTATGGATTTACAATCCCTCATCACCCAATAAATAATCTTCTCCTGTCTTCCACATATCAGTAATAATGCACACATACTCTAGACCCTTAATCCAGAAATCTGGTTTTCTTTCTGAATCTTCTAGCTACTTCTTCTCAGTGTCTTGCGTGTTTTCTTTTCTTGGTGAGTCTTTAGTGATGTTTTGACGTAGCATCATTTCTCTCTTCATTTGCATGTTTCTCCCTAATCAGTTGGATCTACTCCTATGGCTTCATTGTCATGATACGTTGATGACTTTCTATATTCCATCTCTAACCCAGGATTTGCTGCTGAAGTTGAGACTCTTATATTTAAATACTTAGTTATCACTTTTATTATGATGTTCCACAGGAAATTTCAGATTATTCTATCCAGAATAGAATTTGCTACATTTCCCCAGTAATCTGTGTTTCTTTCTTGATCCCTTTCTCAGTGAATGATACTAGCACCGAATAGAGTCACAGCTAAAATCTTGGGTACCATTCTTGATAAGTTGTCCCTGTATTATTCACATTAAATCCATCAGAAGGTTCGGTCTCCTCAACTTCTATAATGTATCACAAATTCATCAGCTCATCTTCATGTCTTTTGAGATCACCCTGAAACAGATCTTTCTAATTTCTTGCTTCATTTTCATTTTCCATTTCATTCTTCAAGAAGCCAGAGTGATTTCTAAGAAAGCAAATAGAATCATGTTATTCTCTTGTTTAAAGCCATTAATTTTTGTATTAACTTCATCAATCTGCAGTCGTTTCCTTTATTCATTTGTTTATCTGCCTGTGATGATAATTCCCCACTGAAATTTATGCTCCATGTGAACAAGGCCATATCTGCTATGTGTTGTTTCTCAATTATCAACATAAATGACTTGGGGGGAGGATATAGCTCAGTGGTACAGTACCTGCTTAGCATACATGAGGTCCTGGGTTCAGTCCCCAGTGCCTCCATTTAAGTAAATAAATAAATAAACCCCTGATTATTTGTCCTCCCCCAATTAAAAAATAAAACATAGATGACTAGTCACTGTGAATTCCAATGTAATGTAATTTAAGATTTTTACAACAAATGACCTTTTAGAGAATTTAGATGAAAAATTTTCAGTAAATAAGCCAAGGTAAGTAACTCCACTTTTCAGCTAAAGTGATTGTGAATCTAGGAACGTGAGTGAGTGGCTATTCCCTGTTGCTCTATGGAGTCTATGCCTTGTTCAAGCAAGGTCAGGACCACAGCTAGATCATTTGAAAAAACTCTTGATATAGAATTCTAACCAAGTCAGACATAAGTTGTAGATACTCATGAAGTGACTTTTGTCTTCCTGACATACTAAGCTTCAGCATGATACTACAGTGTCTGTAAAACAAAGGAGGAAGCATCTATTTCACAAAACAGGATATGGCCAAGTCACTTGGTTAAGAGAAAGGATCATATTTATTTTTCAATTAATTAATTATTTAAAATACCAGTTACAAGTAAAATAAGCCAATCTTCTTGCCTCCCCCCTCAACAAAACAGAACAAAACAAAACACCTAAACCAACAAATCCATATACTGCAGTACCATTTAAATGCTGATAGGAAAAGTGACAGTGTTTTTTTGCTTAATATTTCTTGATTTCTCGTATTTGTCAACTAACTCTTAAGTTTTATCTTCTCTGGAGAAAGAACAGCCTGTGTCTTGTGTTTTTACACATAATCAATTTGAATATGTTTCAAATTAATTGTCAGTGTGAGATATTGAGAAAGGGAGCTTAAGAATAAGATGATAGTAGTGTAAAAAGAAATTTGAAATAAATATATATAGCTCAGTTTTAAACTATATATATTTTACCAGTGGGAAGGGTGGGATCAGAGTGGGGCTAAGAAATTTCAGGGTATAAGGGTTAAGCCTTGTTTTCATTTAAATATCTCATGTAGCCACTGAAGTGCTTTTTGGGGTTCCCATAGTAACACAGCAAGAAGGTACTCACCCAGCATTAGTGGAGAAAACACATAACCAGTAAAAACGTGTGAATTGTATGTATCCAGTTGGCCCTCCATGTCTGAAAATTTTGAATCCTTAGGTTTAACCAACTGCAGATCAAAACTATTCTAAAAAGAAAAAGAATCCCAGGAAGTTTCCAAAAGCAAAACTTGAATTTGCCACATATGATGGCAACTATTTACATAGCATTGACATTGTTTTAGGTATTACAAGAAATGAAAATGTGATTTAAAATATACAGAAGGATGTATGCAGGTTATAAGCAAAAACTATGCCATTTTATATCAGGGACTTGAGCATCTGCAGATTCTGATATCCTCGGGGGTCCTG